CCGGGGCACTGAAGAATTTAGGAGCTTAAACAGTTTTTACAGGGTAGCCAGTGGTACTCCCCACTTAAGTCCACGAAGAGGCTAACACCCTCCTACTTTATTAGTCTTTGTTAAAACTATGAAGTTGTGAACTTAATCCTAATTTATATGCATTGTGGAGGTCACTCAAAAATGTTTCTCTCAACTGCTGTAATAAGTATAAGCTTATGATATTCTGATGTCTAAAGATCTGTTACCTATATCTGATTTCATCTTCCAACATATATTTATTGAATATCTACTATATACTGTGTTAGGAAGCTGCTCTGTGCTCTAGAGAACAAGATACATGAAGTTTATCATTAAATGGGAAAAGCAGACGTTTAAAAAAGCACCCAAACAGGCCGTACAGTGGCTCATGCCTGTAATCCCAACACTTTGGGAGGCCAAGGTGGGAGGATCACTTGTGCCCAGGAGTTCGAAACCAGCCTGGGCAAGATAGTGAGAGCTCATCTCTATTTTTAAAAAAAGCCGGGCAGCTACTCAGGGAGCTTAGGTGGGAGGATTGCTTGAGCTTGAACCCAGGAAGTCAAGGTTGCAGTGAGCCGTGATTGTACCGCTACACTCCAGCCTGGGCAACAGAGTGAGACCCTATCTCCAAAAAATAATAACAATAAATAGAAAAAAGGCACCCAAACAATAATGTAGTTACTACTGAGTTAGGCATACTACAAAGGGAAATTTTAGGGAGGTCCAACACAGGAAGTGTCAGAGAAGGCATCTCTGAGGAAGAGACACTTAAGCTGAACCCTGAGGAATGAATGTGGGTTCCCCAGGCCAAGGTGGGAGAGAAGGCCCCTAAGGTTGAAATACAGTGAGCAAGAGGGAGATTGACCAGTGGCTTGAGGATAGGTCACTAAAGAGCCGCTAGTCAGGTGCAGGATTTGGAACTTCATACAAGGACAGTGGGAAACCATGGAAGGGGGTATATCCTCTAATTTCCCTCTTTAAAAGATCACTCTGTGTGTAAGAATAGATGTGGGAAGGCCAGTTCTTCTAGGTGAGAGATGTTGGTGTCTTAAATGAACATGGTGGCAGAGAGGAGGAGAAGTAGGTGGATTCCAGAAATGCTAGGGGGTTGTATCAGTAGGACTTGTCGATTGATTGGATTTGCAGAGAGATGTCAAAGATAACTCTCAGATTTCTGGAATGAGCAAGTGCCTGGCAGTGTTTCCTGAGGAGGAAATATTTGATCAGAGAAGGACTGGGGAGATTAATTGCAGTTTGTTTCAGCTCTGAGGTGTAAGTGAAGGTGATTTGGTCCTCCCAATTACCCTTTGAGAAAGGTAGTATTACCCACATTTTTTATTGGGAAACTAAGGCTTAGAGAGGTTGGATGACTTGCCTAAGACTACATAGCCAAGAAAGGGCTGAGCCTGAGCTTGCGGCAGTATTTTGACTCCTACAGCTGTGCTTTAAAAACCATACCACATGGCTTGTGTGCTGAGTTTTCAGTGTTTAACCAAGCTAACCAGACTTCTCAACATACTAGTTCCCTGCCTCCCTTCTCCACACACACCTGTCTGCCAAATTGTCTGCTCTGATAGTCAAACCAATCCTAAAATCTCTTCTTGTCTAACACCTTTATGAAAGTAGAAAGGTGAGGTTTATTGGCCCTGCCCTACCTAGAATTTTAACACCCTGGGGGTATTTTTCACTCACTCATTCTAGTTCTGTTCCCCTCACCCCTGACATTTTTCAAACATAGGTCACCCACTGTAGACCTGGAAAAAAAAACAGCAAAAAAGCACAGTGAAACCATTTGCAGAGGGCTATATAGTTTCAAGCACTTAACAAATACTATCTTTTTTGCCCTCCTATCAGCCCTGGAAGAAAGAAAGGACGTGTGTGGTCCTTCAGTTAACATTCCTGGAGTGACACTCACTACGCAGCAAGCACTGTGCTGGAACTCGGTGATACAAGGAGGAATAAGACATGGTCCCTGTTCTCAGGGGCTTAAAGTCTAAAAGAGAAACAGATGACACCAATATGTGTTCATTTTACAGATAAGAAAGATAATAGACTGATGATAGGCTCAGAAATTAAGGGACTTGTTTTAAGTCCATACCACAGACCTGCTGAATTGGATCCCTAAGGGTGGGGCCTCAAGTGATTCATATGCTACTGGATAGCTAGGGAGTGATCCAGCTCAGGTGTGAACCTTTTCTGGTACACTGTCAGTGACCATTTGTCTGTCCTCTAGTTTAAGAGATGAGGCAACTGATGCTTATAGATCAGCAGAGGTTCTCTGCAAACAGGCCTCTTTCCTCATAGCCCTTACTGTAGGGACGTGCAGGCCCAGGAGGGTGTGTTTCCAGCCTCAGACCAGAGGCAGAATTCTACCTGGAGGCAGAATCCTTAGAAAGTTAGGGTGCCAGGAACCTGCTTAAAACTCCACCCTGGGAGATAAGGGAAACCAACCAGTAAGACCAGGTCAGAGTTCAGTAAGTGTGGACTTTTATCTGGAGCTAAGGTCCTGGTAGGGTGGCTCTTTCCTGGTTTACTGCTCTTGTCTTTAGGGAAGGGCCCAGGAATATTACTTTGCCCCAGACTCAGGAAGACCTAGCTCAGCCTGTATATAGTGTGCTTTTTTATCATTCTCTATCCATCTATCATATGTATGTATATTATATATTTATATACATTTATAGCATATGTGTATTATATATATTTAATCATGTCATATATGTATATGTGTGTGCCTACATGTGATATATATATGTGTATATGTCTTATATGTGTATGTGTGTAAAAGAGAAAATAAAGACCAGGCAAATCTACCTGTGACATATACAGGTCATATAACTTTTTGTTTAGGGATACAGACCTCAAAGTCACACCAACTTTATGCACATCTTAACTTCATTTACTTAATCTCTCTGTTCATGCATTGGAAAATAGGGATGTACTATCAGTTTCACCAGGCTTTTGTGAGGATTGAATTAGATAAGATTAGATCAAGTGGTTAGCACAGCACCTGGTAGGTAGTAAGAACTTTATCATTATTACCACAGAACGTGGATATTCTAGGCCTTGTCCTTATTTACATGTTTGTGATGGGATAGGAGTAAGTCTAAGACCAGCAACCTCCCATTGATAGATGGAAAGGACACAGTTTTGTTGGCTTCTCTTTGTTTCTTTAAACTCCAGAAGCCAGTCCTGTTTGGCCACCCTGAGTTCGAACTCATGTACTTTGTAGGGGTCTGAGTGCCCACTTGCAGTGGGCAGTGCAAGCTGTGGGCAGTGGTGACTGGGAAAGGTAAGACATTCCATCTGGAGAGGGCTGCCACCACCCAGTTTCAGCTGATTGTCACTATGTGAGACCATAAGCTCAAGGATGCCAGAACTTCTGGCTGACCTTTTAAGAGAAGTCAGAAATCTGTATTTTATTGCTTAGCAACTAACTTTTGAATATATATATACACATTCACACAGAGAGACACACCACAGGCCAACAAAAGGGATACGTGGGCTCTCTGGAAGGTCACCAAGCATCTCCTTGCTTTGCTGCCCACCCTGTAGGCTGGGGTGAGGAGCGTGTGGATGCGTAGAGAGGACCTGCTCTGTGCCTTGTGCTGCACTCAGGCATACCGGGAAGTCCACATTGCAACCTCTGCCCTCCAGCAGAGAGGCAGGACTGATGTACCAGGCCAGAGGGAGCAGTGGAGGAGGGAAAACATGTGCGCCAATGCGGGCTGCATGGGAAAGAAAAGGAAGAGCTCTTCAAGTTACTCTATAGATAATGTAAATGAAAAAAACAAAATGCAAAAGGGGAGGATATTACCTGTTGTGTAAAGAAGAAAGGAAAATAATATATATAGGTGTTTATTTCGTTTCACAAGAAGAAACAGAAAGGAAACCAAAAACAAATGAAAATGGTTATGGGGGGGGAGAAAGAATAGGTACACTTCTGAATATACTTTTAGAATTTCAGTTTGATAAACCATGTAAATGTTTATTCAAAAAATGAAATTAAATAAGCCTGAAAAAAAGCAAACCCTAAAATTCATAACAAATATAAAAAGAAACCTAAATATATCTCAAATTGATAACATAAAAACAGATTAAGACCGAGCACAGTGGCTCACACCTGTAATCTCAATGCTTTGCGAGGTCAAGGCAGTTGGATCACTTGAGCCCAGGAGTTCAATACCAGCCTGGGAAACATGGCAAAACCCCATCTCTACAAAAAAANAAAAAAAAAAAAAAGGAAGGGAGAAACTGTAAATGGCTTTTAAGTTTTTTTTAAAGAAATAAAACAGTTATTATCATCTTTAATGATGTGAACCCCCAGAATATCTTTATAAGCCTACATGACATGTATCCTTTTTTTTTTTTTGGTCATGTATCCTTCCCTGGATTTGCCAGGAGACCACTCCTAAGTCACCTTGCATGAGTTATCTGGCTCTCTAAGAAGAGTCAAGCATTGCTGTACCACTTGCTGCATTCATTGGATGTCACTTGACATGTAACTTCTAGGCTCACTTGGGCTTCAATCCTGGGAGGCTCCTTACTGGTAATATTAGTCTTCAGGAGGATGGCTAGACTTGGCCCTGCCCCTTCTTTGTCCAGTCTCACTCAGACGCACCAAAAGGCACAGACATGTACGTGAGAGACAAGCATGTTAGCACCTCAGAGAAGGGCAGTTTCTTATTTGGAATACAAAGTATACAAGTTTTGCCAACCACCGAGGGAGGCATGTCTACAGGTAGTTTCTATAGGTAGGCATGTCTGCCTAGTTTTACAGGTAGTTTCTTATTTGGAATACAAAGTACACAGGTTTTGCCAACCACTGAGGGAGGCATGCAGTAGTGTTCAGACAGGAGTAGTCTAGGGAATTTGGTTAGTGTGAAAAGTTTTCTTCTTGAAGAAGAAACGTACTGGGGCTTCCCTGGGTTGGTCTTGGCATGTGTACTAACCTTCCAAAGACACTGTGTACTCAACCTTTTTCTCCACCTTCTAGGTCTTGTTCAACGCTGTGTCATTATCCAAAAGGACCAGCATGGCTTCGGCTTCACAGTCAGTGGGGATCGAATTGTTCTGGTGCAGTCTGTGCGGCCTGGTGAGTGCTGCATCCGTCCTGCCCGCAGTGGACAGTTCTTGCAAAGCCACCACATATGTGACAGTGCCACTCTACTTGGAGAACTTGTGCTTTCCTGTGGGGCACGAATGAATTACTCTAGAACTGGCTCTCCATGGGTACCTGGGGAAGCCTCTTCAATGCAAAGTCCCCAGGCAGAATTTCTAGAGATTGTACCTCATGCTTGCTTCCCTGGTTGGGAAGTGAAAAACCAGCAAAGTAGCTGTCAGGTCATCATCAGGCAGATGTCTGATTGCCATCAAAGGGAGATCCTCATACTGGGTCACAAGATTCTGTGCCAGAATCCAAGGCCCCCTTTCTTCATTTTTACCTCCACACTACCTGGCTAAGTGCACGGATGGTCACTTTCTACAGAGGTTTATAACCTGAGACAGGCACAATAGTCCAAATGATTACAGAGCACATTTGCTGATACAATTAACATTAAATAATAAATTACAAACAGATAAATGATATATGCTGGACGTGATGTCGGGGGAAATGGTGTTTGGAAGTTTGAGTAGTTTGTGATTTGAGGCGTAGTCAGTTTCCTTGTGATCGTTTGGGAAGCCCTCTTTTAAAAAAAAGGATTTTAGAAGTAGTTTGAAAGATGGACATGGAAAGCAAATCAGCAAAATAGGAATTTGGTGGGAAGGGAGTAAAGAGTGAGTGGGCATCATAGCCAAATCCATCAGGTTACAAATTGTGTATAGAAGGGGTGTGAACAGTCAAAACTCCAGCATGTGCCAGCTAGTGGAACCATTGTTAGTGGTCCAGGCTGAGGGGGATAGTCAGAAAGACGGTGGGTGTGGAAGATTCCCTAAAGGGTAAAGAAGTGTCCCTAAAAGGAGTGAACTTCAGTGCAGTAAGTAGCATTGGGCTGGTGCCAGGGAGCATCCTAGGCTTGGCTTAGACGAGAGGACAAGGAAAGGATTGGGAGCAGGTTTCCCGTTAGGGATGGTGCAGAGGAGGAGGGAAAATATACTTGCATTGATTCTTGAGGAAGATTTGGGCTGTGTTCACAGGAAAGGTGAAAAAAGGATTTCAAATTTGTAACCAAAATGAGATATGTGGATCATATAAGGATATAAATAAGCATGGCTTCTTATGTTTGGGAGTAAACTTATATCAGTGGGAGATTTGTTTTGCATATCCTGAGGGGAAGCTCTAAAAAGATACTTTTATTCTTTGCTTTTCTTATTTCTCAGGGTTCCCTGACTGGGGTGAGACAGTTAGGAGAACTGCCAATACCTTGTACTTTTCCTCTGCAGCCTATCTGGTACAGAAAATATGGGATCCCCTCCAGTGAAGCATAGGTTCAGCTCCCCTTTACCTTCTTCCTTCTCTTAGGCTGAGCAGAGTCAGACCCAGAGAGGAAAGAAGGAAAAGATGGCTTACAAGGAGAATATCAGTTTTAGAGACTATGTGTGTGTGAGTGTGTGTGCATGCGTGCATGTGTGCGTGTGTGTGTTGGGGAGGAGAGTAGAAGAGACTTCATTCATTTGGATTGGCATTGAAGTCACAAGAATAACAAAGCAGTAGCAGTAGTTATCTTTTGCAGATATATATTAGGTTTCTTTAATTCACTGTTTCTGAAAGTATAGTCTGTGTTCTGCCTGAATCAGAATCACCTACGCCCAAGATGATTGAAATCCTTTTTCTTGGGGCTGACCTTGGAAGCACTGAATTGCTTTCTGGCAAGAGGTCCATGAAATACACTTTTTAAAAATCCCTGCAGTGATTCTCATGCTTGCTGAAGTCTGAAAACTACTGCTCAAGTTCCTTTACTCTGAAGAGTTTAGTTGTCGTTTTTTTTAATCACTAAGTTATTAGAAGTCGCCTCACGTGTTTCATACATTCAGGCAAGACAGCTCTGTTCTCTTCAACATTAGTTTCTAAATGAATGTATAAGCAGGAATTTCAAGCTATTTGCAAGTATTCTTCCATAAATAGCACACTTTAGATGAGGGTAGTCTTGAGTCCCAGTATTGAAAAGCCAAATTGGAATGTAGTCATCACTATGTTTTTCTTTTCGGAGTAGAAACGTTTAGATGGGCTTTGTGGGAGTTTTGTTTTGATCAGAGGAATGCAACTTACAGATTTAATGATCACGTTGGGGCAAATGTACAATATGTAATTTTTATGCTTCTCATTAACTTGTTTTGGCTTTAATGTTTTTTGCGCTTCCTGGATGTAAATTAAACTAGGACTATAAGTCATTTAAAACTATCTTATGAGGCTGGGCATGATGGCACACGCCTGTAATCCCAGACTTTGGGAGGCTGAGACAGGAGGATTGCTTGAGCTCAGAAATCCAAGACCAGCCTGGGCAATATGGTGAAAATATTTGTCTCTACAAAAAATACAAAAATTAGTCAGGTATGGTGGCACATGCCTGTAGTCCCAGCTACTTCAGAAGCCAAGGTGGGAGGATTGCTTGAACCCAAGAGCTCAGGGCTGCGTGAGCCAAACTCACACCACTGCACTCCAGCCCTGGTGACAGAGTGAGACAGTGTCTCAAAAAAAAAAAAAAAAAAAAAAAAAAAAAAAGAAAGTCTGTCTCAGTAGTACCATTTAGAGAGTGCAAATTTTGGGGGAAATTCTCCACTCTCCACGACTGCCTCCATACCCCCAGGTTTAGGCTAAGTGGAATCTGAGCTCTGCTGCCAAATTTGGATGAGAATGTCATCAGGAAAACGGAGGGCCTACCATTAAAATCTTTTCTATTTATGACAGCCTTCATTTCAGACCAAACTACCTTCTTCTCTCCTTCCCTTGTTTCTCAGATTTTTAACCTTCCGAGGCTTTCCTTCCAAATACGTGCTCAGACTCGAAACCCAGCTGACACAACAGTCTGTCCGTTGATTACGTCCACCAGGCCTGCCTTCCACAGGCAATTCTTTCTCCTTCAGTTCAATGGTAGTTTTCTCTCCTTTAAGCTCTCAGAAAAAAAAATTTTTTTTTTTTTGCATCTGTTGCAAGTATACTTATGTTACCATCTCCTTGTCACCCACATACCTGCCCTAGCCTGTGATTTTATTTTAGAGAGACTTTGGTGACTGCTAAAATGGTCTTTGTCAGTTGTTGACAGCAGGGACAAGAACCCCTAACAGTTGTTGGCAGCAGGGACGTGGACCTTTGCTTCATTAGCCTTTGATTATGTGAAACTGCTCATGCCCCAGCTCACATGCAAACCAAATTAGGTTATCAGGTTCAAATGCACCTTCTAGACTTCCGTATGGGCATAGGAAGCCAGCTTCCTGGTAGGGTGTGTTCACAAGACACGAAGGCCTGAGGTGGGCTTTCTCTGTAGGGCTGAAGGAGGAGGAGTTCGAGCCCAGCATGGATAACCCTGTGCAGTCATAGGGAATAAAGTAGGCAGAACATGTAGGAGGAAGGAACAGCGTAGGCAGAGACAGAGCCAGAAACCATAGCAAGTGAAAGGAGGACAGTCAAGAGGAGGGACCAAGATTAGGAGTGAGCCCCTACTGCGTCAGGCACTGGGGATGCCCAGCAAGACCCTCTCTGCTTTCACAGACCTTCCAGCTTTGCCTGTACAGCATTTTCAGTTGGGTATTCAAGCTGCAGGAAGGATGGATATTGGCAGCTGTAGAAAACATCAAAGGGTGCTTCCATGGGCATCAGGCATTATCCCACCTGTTAGATGCTGTGGCAAACGGCCTAGCTGAAGACAGATGATTGTTCCCTGAGTTCAGTGGGGAGGTTCTAAAAGGTTTTAAGTGGCAAAATGATGTGGGTAAATTTGCCTGTTAGTAAGCTCATGGCTGTGTTGTGGCCAGGTGACTCCCCTAGGTCACTCTTGGCTCTGTTGTGGTTTTTCTTTTGAACCAACCATCTCTAGTGTCTTGTCTGGTTTATGTCGTGTTTTGTTTTTCTTTCTCTTTCTTCCTCCTGTCCTGCATCGCTCTCTCCTGGGCCCCACGCTCTCTTCCTCCTTGATGTCCTTCTCTCTCTGATCCAAAGATCACCCAGTAAAAAGCAGTCTCACCTGTCCAGGTAAGAGGGGTGCCACTGTCGGGGGGACAATGACCCCTCCTTTATAAGTTACATGTACCCTCTCATGGTTCCAAACTTAAAAATTTCCAAAGAATATCACAAAAGCCTGCAGTTCCATTCCTGTGCCCTAGCCACCCACTTTCTCTCCATAGAGACTGCCATGTTATATGTTTCCCTTGTATTTTTCCAGAGATATGTTTGCATATGTAAATAAATATTTAAACATATATAAACACATAATTTTATTCTCCCTTTTACTTTTTTTAACTGTCAAAAAAATTCTATATTTTGTTTATTTCATTTAGTAACATATCATGGAAATCATTCTCTATCGTGTATAAAGAGCCTCTTCATTCTTTTTTATGACTGAGTTCTGTGTCATTGTATTACTGTAATTTATTTAACCAGTCACTCATTGTGAACATTTAGATTACTTCCAGTGTTTTGTCATCCCACACGGTGCTTCCACGAGTAGCCTTCTACTTAGTCATTTGCTCTAGGTAGGATAGGAATTGCCCCTTTCTGAGGGGCAGCAACTGTTGATTCAGGAACTTGCAACTTGTACACTTTTCCGAAAAGGAGTGCCACAGCAATTACTGAAATTTCTTCTATTCCTGGGAGGGTCCTAGCTAAAGGAGATCAAGCAGAGAAACCTTTGGGGTCTTTCATAGTCTCTAAGCAAGGTGCTTCAGGCTGGCTGAGGGAACGGAGCTGAATATGGGGTTAGAATACTACCATCAAACAGACCAGCTTCCTATTCCCCCGTGGGACCCAAAGGATAAATGGAATTTTCAGAGGCTTGGGCCATTGCTCTACCCTCTTTTCTAGAAAGTGTGTAAGTTGCCAGTTACCCAGCGGGCTTGTACTCATGCCCGTTTACCCTCCTGGAGATCACAGTTACGGAGAGGTGGAACTTTAAGGGACAAAGAGATGAAGCTAAATGGGGAGCTTGTCTCTGCTGCCAC